TTTGTTTTTTTAATTTATGCACATTAGCTACTTGGCTTTGCTTGGACTCGAGCCGTTTGCCCATTGTCATAAATCTTTTATCATTATTATATTAAAATATGTGTTGCATGTGTGTGTGTGTGTGTTTACTTTTTGCTCTCTGCAATGGATCTTTCTTTCTTTCTTTTTGGCCTAGGCATACTTTGGCACTTTGATGCATGGCCCCCCACACACACACATTCACACTCACACTCACACACACACACAGCTGCTGCTGACTAATGTGTGTGTGTGAGTGCGTTAAGTTGTCATAATGATTGACAACGGCTACGTGCCCTGGTTTTATAATAGTCAACCGGATTGAGAGGGCCAACTAGACGTCGTCGCTACGCTTACCGACCGCCCGACCGTCCGACCGCTTGACTGCCCGGCTGCACGGCTCCAGTGCGCCGACTGTCTTGGCCCAAAATGGATCAACTGCGGCCATGCTTTCCACTTATTTATGTTTTTAGTTATTAAAATATGCAGCAGGCACTTTGCGTACAGGTCGAGGGGCCGCATAGGTCCATCAATTGGATTGCGTATTTGGTATATGCCTAGTCAGAGCTGAACGAACGAGAGCTTAACTTGCGAATCGATCCAATAATGACTATATTTATAAGGGTTCCGGGCTCAATATTAGATTCGAATGCAGGCGCAAAATCTATTTAGGGCTTGGCAAAGTTAATTCAACATCTGTTGGGCAATAAATTGCATAAATTGTAACAGTCGCTGTGGACTCAGCCCGGCAGTCAAGACAAATATATATATTTGTAAATATATATATTTATATATATGTCCGTAAATATGTATGTATAGGAAGAAAAAAATAAAATGCCAGGATAATCAATAAACGAAATTCAATTTGCTGCGCCATTTGCGCAGACAGGGCGGCACACGACAACCCCACAGAACCAGAACCAGAGCCAGAGCCAGAGCCAGAGCTAGAGCCAGAACCAAGACCAAGGCCCAGGCCTGGAACTCCGTAGCCCCCTAGCCCAAGTCCATGTCTATGGCGTGGTGCCCGTGCTTATGTCTGTGCGCAAGCTACAGATTCTGGCACGCCCACTTGAACGCCCACGTGCCATAAAATGAGGCCGATCTAATGAGCGTGGCAGGATAAAGGGGGGGCAGAGAAGCGAAGCGAGGGCGAAGCCAGTTGACAGAACGTGGAGAGGTCGTGAGCCGTGAGCGATGCGTGACGTTCGTGTATTTTATCGATATTGCAATTTATTGTATTAGCCGGCAAAGGAGCGAAGAAGAAGGCGGCAGGGCAACAGGAGATGGAAGAGGACCTACTCGAGCTGAAGGCGAAACGTCTCTCAATAATATTTCTAGGCTATAAAGTGAAATATGTGTTAATTTGGAGCTGCCAGCCGCCCCCAGACACGCCCTCCACCCGCCCAAAAGGCAGTTATTGTTATAATGATAATATTGACATTGATAAGCGTCGCAAATTTATGCACAATTTGGCTAATTGATTGGCGCTGCCTCCACTGCAAATGGCAGCGCGGCACGCAGGCTGTGCCAAAAAGGAACACACACACACACACATACACTCAGATAAATTAGGTGTGACAGACAAGAGCTGATTGACCAGAGGAGAAATGAAAAAATATCTGATTTTTATAAAAACTTAACCCATTTTAAAACTTGACTTGCATTTTTGAGATTACCTTCAACAGAAATATATGTAAATATTTGATTTTCGATTAGGAATTAAATTTAAATTTCATAAAGTCTTAGCTGAAAACCCAAATATGAGCTCCCATGTTCAAATTTCGATTCTTAATCAAAGCGCAAATTTTATATTTATATAAACCAAAATGTAACTTTTATTTATTTTCCAAGTAGATCCTTCTAAGAAACTTAGGAAATGCTCTTTTAAATATTTTACTTTATTACATTTCGCTATATTTATACCTTGAACCCTCTTCTTCCTACGTCAAATGCATATATATATTCTATTTTAGAAACTATATGTCAACTTCGGTTACTCTAGCTCTTATTATTGACCAAAGTTGCGGAGTAGGTTATCGATTATCGGAAACAAACTCGATCTGCGCAGGCACTAGGAGCACCTACATCTAAAATTTCAATTTCTATAGCTTTTATATGTTCTGAGATCCTTGTGTTTAAACATACGGACGGACGGACGGACGAACAGACGAACAGACAAACGGACATGGCTAGGTCGACTCGGCTATTGATGCTGATCAAGAATATACATATATACTTTATGGGGTCGGAGATGCTTCCTTCTGCCTGTTACATACATTTGGATTTTGCACAAATACAATATACGCTTATACCCATTTTAAATGGGCTCAGGGTATAATTACGTGACTACATTTTTTAGTCGTCTGTGTTGGGATAAGCCATAATTTTTTAATATGTTTAAATGGGTTTACCTTTTAAAAGTTGGATGTGTAAAAAACAGTTAACATAAAACATAATGACACTGCATATATATGAATTTAATGTTGACTTTTTGTCCAATTGAAAATGGTTTTTGTTTAGTTTTTGCTTCGTCGTTTATAACAAATTGAAAAGTGAAAGTTTCTTAAACCAGTCCATAGGTTACGGTTTACAGGCAGGTTATTATTTATGAGGAAGCTGACAGATTTGAAGCTATCAGAAAATTGAAAATTGTGCCGGAGATATACATATATACATATTTATATCCTTTTATACTGTCCTGACTATCACAAGAGCCATGCTGATTTTCATCCTCTTTTTATTAGTGCTTTGTAATAAAATGTTTTGTATGTAAGTATGTATGCGAGCTTGTATGAGTGTACGTATTTACACATGCCAAACGCATATCTGATTCATTTTCTGCAGCGCTGCAAATTAAATAAAACCGTCTTGTAACATAAGCCCTCCTCCTCGATTAGGTAGAAATATCTTGTTTTAGCAATAAACTAAAATTTGTTAAATCTATCTCTCTCTTTCCATCTGGTCTTTTCTTTTGTTCCTACATAAAGTAACTCTCTTTTTCTTTTGTTCTTTCAGTTATGTGTTTAAAGTCCCGACTGGAGGCTTATTAATATTGAGTAAGTGCGTCTCTTTATACAGATATATAGAATATATATAGCATGTAGAATATTGAATCTATGTCAGACGTTAACACGGGCTATCTCTATGTCAGACGTTAACACGGGCTATCTCCTAGAATATATATTTAAAACGAGATAGTGCTTTGGGGACTTTTACTCCCATTATACCTGAACAAAAATCTAACTAGGACATTACTGTTCTTAACTTAATTAATTAGCTAGGGCTAGAAGAATGTGCAGTTTAAAAACTCGCAAGTTGCCGGCAAACTTTGTCAAAGGGAGGCGAACAAAATAGCAAAGAAAAGTTGAGTTAGACAACTGGCGAGCGGCAAGGAACGGCAATTCCTGACGGGGTTTCTAAAGGGTTGCAGCTAGAGGCGGGCAACCCAATTGCTTGTCCACTTGAAGTAAACATTTGATACACCTCAGACCCCGTCAACCATCCCGCTTTGCCCCTCCTGTTGGGCAGCCTGGCTAGTTGTTTACTTTTCCGATTGATTGAGCAGCGTTGGCGATGCCATTGGCCACGGCTGACTGGAGCCGAGACACCGCTAACTGGGATGCCACGGCACCATCAGCATCTCTGGCCAGCTGTGCAGCATTAAATGAAGCATAAAGTGTTGATGCGAGCAGCAGCTACCGCAGCAGTGGCGGCGTCAATGTCAAGTGCAAATGAGACGCCATCGTCATCGTCATCGTCATCATAGCCAGAAATCAAACATTGCCACGCCCACGCGCCCACTCAATATGTCCAGCGTGCCAGCCCTAAATGTCTGCGTAGAGCCGGCAACAAGGTCGGCAACGGAGTGCTGGTTGGAGGTGCGAGCAGAACGCAGTGGAAGTGAATGCTGAGCTTACCTTGCCGCTGGCTCCCAGAGATTTGCGTTCGGCTTTTTGACACAAATTGAAATCGAGTTACAAAAACGCTTAATTCAATAAAGACAACGACAACAACCGCAACAACAGCCACAACAGCCACAACAACAACAACAACAACAACAACAACAACAACAACAACAACAACAGCAGCAGCAATAACAGCAGCAACAACAACAGCACCAGCAATAACAGAAACGACAACAGAAAAAGTTTATAATAACAGCGGACACAAATTAATTTTGCAAGCCGTCGTTGGCGACACAAATTGCCGTGTCATGTCCAGAGTTGAGTTTTTTTTTCCTCTTCTTTTTCTTCATTTATTTTTTTTTTTTTTTGTTGATGTATTTATTATTATTATTTTACTTGCTTTCCAAGCCAGAGAGAGCATAATAAGTTGGTCATAAGGCTCGCCAGGTGAACTAAATAAGTAAATAACTGAACACATTTTAGTCTTAAAATTGTTTTATATTCAACAATGTGAGCGGGGTGAAGTCTCAAACTGAAATCTGTTGCCAAATTGAAGGAATCGACTTCAATTTGATTATTTTACTTAACATTTCTCATTGAGTCAATTGAAACTTAATGAGAGAAAGCTAAATATCGCTTCACATAGTATCAGAGACATAACACAAATAAATTATGTATAAATTTAACATTTTAAATATTGAGTTTTAGCGTATGTATAAATAAAAATAATAATTAATTAATTTTTTTTAAGGCATATAAGTACATATAAATTTTATCAAAAGCTTGTTATATCGTTGTGGTAGAGCATTCATAATTCTGTAAGCTGCATGCGGCTGCCACTTGTCGCCTTTTTTGTGCCACGCACCTGTGGCAAGCGTCAGTGGACGTTGATCGTTGTTCTGTGATCGCTGCGGTAATTACAAGCGACTCTCAGCTGCAGCCGCACTTTTTTTTTTTGTCTTCGGTTATTTGCTTTTTTGCTAGCGTTGTTGTTGCTGCTGCTGTCGTATTTTGGGGGAAGCGGCACAAGTAATTTCCACTAATTACGAGGCAATGAGTTGAGTAAAAGCAAAATACGTACGTTTGCAACTGCAACAGCAACTGCAACAGTTGCTTGCATCTGCATGGGGTGCCAATGGCTCCGAGCTGCTGCTGTTGCTGCTGCTGTGGCTGTTGAGCCTCGGCCATGTGGCTACCGATTGCTGCAGCCTGAGATATTTAGTGTTGGGCATGATTTGCGCTTTTGCGGCTGGCAAGTCAAAGTGCTAAGTGTTAGTCGCCGCGTTTTCATCTGCTGCTGGTTCCCTGTTTAACTTTATCCTCATGGTAAATTAAATTTTAAACATTCAACGGACGTTGGCAAAATCATAAACACAAATCAAATGAATTTTCATAATTGCATTTGACTGCCTTTCCGTTTTCTGCTGACGTCTGCCATTGGCGCGGCTATCCAACATGGGCGGCCAAGCAAGTGGGCGTGGCCAAGTCTAGACAGAAAGTTGTCACTGTCGCTGACGCAGATGTTGATGTTGATGATAAGCCTAGCCCTAGGCCTGGGTCTGGCCCTGTGCCATATGATGAGACGGCTGTTTGAGTGCCTGAACGGAAAGGCGGAAAAGGTGCAGGATTTGGCTTGAAGTGTGGAACGGGTCTGGAAAATGAAGTACATTGATTTAGCGGTTCCTGCTCTAGTTGAGGGTAAATCAATGCCAAAGTGAAATAGTTCCTACCCATATATGCTGCAAATAGTAAAGCTTGAATTTGTGAGAATTAAATGAAATATTGCAGGGGTGAGAAAGAGAGAGAGAGAGAGAGAGAGAGAGAGAGAGAGAGAGAGAGTGAGTGAAAGAGGGGAAGTTTAATAAGAGGCCGACAAAATGATGGAGAATGCAAAAGAACTATATTATATAACTGAAAGAAAACCAAAAATATATAAAAATCAAGATATTTTGTATTTCTTTGTGTGCACATTTTGCTGAGTTAAATCCTTTTTTGATTTTAAGCCCAAGTAATCAATTCTTTACATAAATCCCAGTTATTTTCCAACTGCTTGACTTTGTTCTTTGAGCTAACTGGCCTGTTTTTCTGTGTGTCTGTCTTCTCGGTTTTTTCTTTGCTTGTCTTTTTGCATGTTACTCATTTTGATGCCTTTTACAGCTCATTTGTACTTGTGTGCATAGCTGTTACCCTTGCTCCTCTGTCCTTGCATCTCTTATGATTCAGAACGCTTGCCATATGCCTTCGACATATGCTAAATCCTTCCGGCTGCACACACACACACACACACGACAACTATTACCTTGGCATGGTCACACCCATATGCAGATACATTTGTATCCATGCAGTTGCAGCTCTTGTGTTGCTCCCAAAAAATTTGTGTGCTATTTTGCATTTGCTGATGTTTTTGCCCCTTTCATTTTATTTTTCTTTTATTTTGTAAGTTTTTCTTTTTCTACACTTTTTTTTTTTTTGTCAATTTCACGCTCTATTTGTGAGGTTTGCCATTTGCCTTTGCCTTTTGTTTGATTTGGTTTTTGTTGGCTCGCTCGTTTTTGTTTTCGGTCCAATCTTTGATATTTTTGTACTTTTGACCAATTTGCAGCGCACAATGCAAACAAACAAGCACTAAAAACACACATACACACGCACTAGTACGTATGGACACATATGCGTGTGCCTGTGTTCGTGTGTGTGTGTGTGTGTTTGTGCCACATGATTGGCAGCTTTTCAATATGGCGCTAATTGAGTTTTTAATTGTTTGACTTTACACGTTATGGCCCTTTTGTTTCAATGTGTCATTCGATTTGCTAGTGCCACGCTTCATTATGTTCTTGTTGTTCCTATTTAAACTATGATTATTCATATTTTTATAATTATTATTTAGTTACTTGTTTATTGTTATTGTTATCTGTCTGAATGCAGGCCAAAGATGATATCGCATATCCCGATGTAGACGCCACTTTGAAGCCATGCAAAAGCTTTACCAAAATGGAAGATAGAACTGATGAGGGGGGCTTTAGTAAGGTTGTTGTGGGATCTTTTTAGTGGAAACAAGCTCCAAATGCCACATTGCAACGGCAGAGGTGAGATGTGGAGGAATTACCCTCCACCTCAGCTCAAAAATGTATTTATTACCATATTTTAACAAATATTATTTATTTTATTATTATTATTAATTATATTATTATAAATATTGTTATTATCATTATTATTATTATTATAATTAATATTAGTAATATTACTCAAATCATTATTTTTATATTTTTGCTTACGCCTTTTGGCCGCTTTTATTAAGATTATTCACTTTCGCGCAGCAGCATTTATAATTTGATCCCATTGAAGCACAACGACAATGACAGCTTTGAGTACAATCAAAACGCCTTCCCTGCGCACAGCTGCCGCCGATGCCGCACTCTCACTAGTTCAACCCCCTCTGCAGTGGTTCGGCAAAACTCGTTTTAATGGCCCTGGCATCAGGCATCGGGCATCGGGAATCAGGCATAATGGCAGACTCCAGTCTCCAGTGTGCAGACCCCGGATCGAGCTGCCAACTCGAAGCTCGGGCTTTGACTCAGGGTTCGATTGAGGCTCCGTTATTGCCAGCTTCGCACAGAACGTCAGTCAAGTTGAAATAATTTTAATTTAGTTGCTGGTAAACTATAAACAGGCTCTCGCCAGTCCCTGCCTCTGCTGCTGCTCCTGTTCCCCAACGCTCACCGATGCCGCCACGTAAAGGGGTCCTGGTCCTTGGCCTCGGGCTGCGTTGTCGTCAGCACTTTCCATTGATAAGCGACACGCACTCGAGCCCAAGCCAAACCGACCCCAGCTCGAATCGGGACATACGATTGTAGCTGAAGGGTGACGGTGACGATGACGATGACGATGTGGATGAGGATGAGGATGCCGCGTCATGTGGCGATTTATTCAAAGCAAAGCGAATGGCGCAACAATAACAACAAAAACTGATTTGTGAAGCCTTTTTAGGCTTATCTATAACGAACCACAAATACTCTGCCTCTTAATATGATATGCCTAAAGAGAAAAGCATATGTATTGTTTTCATACTGACCTTATTTCGGCATCAGTTGAAATTCTTTGAGATCTCTTGAGAAATTCCACGACGAATATTGAATACCCTTGCAGATATATGGCTTATGGCTTAGCAGACATGTGAGAAGAGTGTAATAAGTAATCGCTCACTTTGGTCCAAATATATTAAAGAATCGAATGTTTCAAACCTGTTTTATAAATAACAGCTTTATGATACAATAGACCGATATTGATAAGCCAAATAACAGAAATACCATTATGGTATAGGTGTATAGTTGATAGACGTACTATAGCTATATCAGATCATCTGTTGAATCTGAACAGGAATATGTATACTTAAACGAATCTGGAGCATTTCTTTTATGCATTACACGATTGATTTATAATACCCTCAATAAGAGTGTAATAAAGTCAAAAACAATTGTTTTCTTGGAAGATTTTTTTGGATTTCAATTCTATGTACAAATATGTTAAGGTAATACAAAACATTACAATTTAAATTAATTTTTTGTTTTTAGCCTTTTCTCTGATTTCTAGACCTAAATTGTAGTACCAAAAAGAGCGTATTTTCTTATAGTATTGCAAATGCCTGTCATGAACCTGATACCCGACTGGCCATTCCCAAATTGACATATTGTAATGCCGCACCCCTGTTGACAGGGCGCTGGAGTACATGAGCGCGTCGTCATGGAGCAGTGGGGCCGCGTTGTTGTCGAACCGGTTCCTAGCGCCCGGGCCTTATGTAAATATTTTGGAGTATAGTGCGTTATTGAGGGTTGGGAAGGGGGGAGACTTGATTGGGGGACGACTGCCGTGGTCAATGCAATATCTTAATGGTCAAAGACGCTAGCTGGCCAAGGACATGGCGGCTGCCAGGATGGACGCTCATATTTCGATGTTATTTATGCGCCGGCCCGTTATTAAAAATATTTCTGTAGCCGCTGCTGCTGATGGAAAGCTGGTCAGGGTCGTGCCAGCCAACAGCTCTACCTGCCACACAGGTAGTGGCAGTGGCAGCGCAGTGGCTGGGACAACGGCACAGATAGGGGCACAGATACAGATACAAGCTCGAGCAAAAGGAAGAGGCAGCGAAACCGCAACCTGAACGTCACATTGATGCCACGACCCGCTATGCACCCTGGTCTCCTGTCTCTGGCACCACGCCCAGACCCGGCCTGCCTCGCAGCCTGGCTGCAACATTATACTCTTGCCTTTTTCTTTTTGGAAGAGCGCTTCATCGTCGTCGTTTTCTTGGTTGTTGTTTAATTTTTCAGTTGGTTGCAGTTTGGTTTTTATGCTCCTGCCATGCCATTCCCCCCACCCTTCACTTGCCTTAACACCCTCACTCTGCTGTCTTACCCTGACGCTTTAGCTGCAGTGTCGTCCTGCTCCTGCTGCTCCTTGTTGTTGTTGTTGTTGTTATTGAAGAGGTTTTAAATTTCCAGCCTGATACTTTAATTCAGCCGGGCAAAAGGCGTCGTTCCAGCGCCCTCTGTGCCCCGATTTTGTTTACTTTTATCGGTTCTACTACTATATCGGTTTCTGCTGCTTCTTCTAGCTATGCTCTTTCATTATATTGTTATTGCTGTTGTTGTTTTTGTTGTTGTGCATCGTGTGCAGTTTTTAAGATTTTTTTGCTATACACACATTTTTTATTGCTGGTCTGCGCGAGGTCTTGCCCTGAATCCATCCTTCAAATACATATACATATTTGAATATTGCTAACAATAAAAAAAAATCCGCCAGCCTTTGCAATTTGTCGAATATTATACTGTGTCAACCAAGAGCTGATATCAAAATCTCTGCCTCGCCCCTAGCCCTTCCCCCCCCCCCCCCCCCCCCCCTTGTAAACTGCAACTGACATTTTAATAAAGATTTCGTGGAATCCTTGACAAAAATTAATTCGTTGACCTGCCTCAAAGCTGGGGACACACACACACACGCACACAAAACGCAGCAACCATTTTGTTGAATATTGTTTATGCTCTTGCACAGTTAATTAACTTTTTAAAAATATGCGAGTGCCAAGGAATATGGCGAAAGTTGAGTCAATAATAATAATATGATTATTGTTTGATGTCACTTGGTGTCAGTTTGCCTTACATTCTTCAAATTGTGTTGTTTCTCTCTCTCTCTCT